GTCACGTACTCTGTTGTGATTGACTGAGGGGAACCCTGCACGTGGGTCCTTCACTCGGACTGGCCATGCCGATCAGCCCTGCTCACCCTGGGAAGTTAATTCTGTGTGTGTGTGTGTGTGTGTGTGTGTGGTGTGTGAGGGTAGATGAAGGCGTGTTGATCAGCAAGGGCCAAAGTCCCCCCACGATGGCGGCAAAGTGAAGGACCCATGTGCAGGGTTCCCCTCAGCCAGTCACAGAGTCGTTGGTCCACGTGCAGGTTTCTCATCAGCCAACCTGAAGGCCTGGATGGCTTTGCCTGTGAAGTGAGCCGCCCTCCCAGAATCAGCAGGAGGTTTGGAGCACAGGATGAGAAGGGCGCCGGAGAATGGGCCAGAGGACCGGGCGATGTACACCCATGCAGGGTGGGGCGCCGCCGTCTGTCCCACCTACAATTTAAGAGTGTTTCTTGAGCACCTACTATGCGCCGGGCTAAGATAGGGCTGTTCACAGCACGGGGGAGCAGGAGGGTGAATCCCGTGAGGTCCCTGTCCTGCTCCAGTTAATTGGGTCGGTTGCAGATGGTCGGAAATCAAAACGGGGCTTTACCTGGCCAGCCTGGCTCTAGGCCACGGGCCCTAGCAGGAAGCCCACCTGGGGGCCTGCACCCTTCTAAAGGAAGCCAGGACGGAGGGGGGGACAGGAAGGCCTCGTGCATTTCGCCCTGGCCACAAAATCACTGGTCGAGGTGACATTCTGTCTGTTTAAAAAACAAGTCAAGTAGGAAATCAATGCTGGCAGGAAGGTGTGGCCCGGACTTTGTTTACCCAATGGTCTGGTTACCTGCTGAGCTGGGGGGGGGGGGGGACAGGCAAAGCCGAGGACCTTGGGGACGCCCTCTGAGGACCTGTAGGGACCAGGGCTGGCTTGACCTGGGAGTGAGAGGGAGGGTTTGGGGTGTGGGGTTTGAGTCAGGGGCTTTGCCCAGCTCTGGTGATGGCCGTTAGCGTCCCCTGCGGTCATGGGGGTGGAACCCAGGTCCCCACCGGCAGCCCTGGGTGCTGTTTTCCGGTCGAGGAAGAAGGCTTCCCCACGGCAGCGTGTCTAGGCTGAGTTTTGCGGGGGGCAGAGCAGTCTGTTAAGGCCCAGCGCCTTGCCTGGAGGGCATCTCGCAAGAGGGTGTCCCCAGAGGACCTTAGTTTGAAGGGCTGGACCTCGGTCTTCCTGAATTTTCTTGCCGGAGACCTTGCCTGGGGCATGCTTGTCGGACATGCTTTGGCCTGAACACCTGAGTTGACATGGGCAGGAGTGGTTGTGGAAGACACGGAACGGAACGGGGTGTCCGTTGGGTGCCCATGCGCCCCAGCGCAGGTGGGCTCCTAGAGGGAGCTAGTGAAGGCCTGTACCCAGGTGAGAGGAACAGTCAGGTGATGCGTTTTCTAGGACCGGCGTCCTCCGAGCAGGAGACCCGGCCTGCGGGTAGATTTTCTCTGCAGCCAGTGTTCAGCGTCACACAGCAGAAAAGAGAAGTACAGGGAGCCAAAGTACAAGGAGCTCTTTCCCCGCGATCAGATTGGCAGGGACCGTGGCTGGGGCCGGGACTCTCCTTGTAGCTCATCAGGTGGCGTATGGGTTGACGCGGCCCCTGCGCAGGGCACCGACTGCATCTCAAGGCCGTGACCCCTGCTGCTGAGCTGGTTCAGGTGCACGGAGTCGTGGCCCAAACACGCGCGCTTGCGTGTGCTTCCCGTGCTCCCTGTCTGTCTGCCTGCCACATGGTTGGCCTGTGAGGTCAGCCCAGCCTCTGATCAGCAGGGGGTGGATGAAATGAAGTCAGATCTCCAGTGGAATCCAGGCAGAACAAAGGAGGAGGAGACTGTTGAAGGCAGTGCGAGGAAGGAACGTTCTTGAGTTTCTTGAAGACTATTATTATGAGAGAGAGAGAGAGAGAGAGAGAGAGAGAGAGGCGAGTGCGTGGGACATGCCTCCTCCCACTGGATGGCAGAAAACCACATTTATTTTGGCTACCTGTGCGTAAAGTTATGTGCTTGAAGGATGCCCAGGAGACCGTTTATCCTTAAAGAGGAGAGAATTTGGGTCCAGGGCTGGGGCCAGGGTCATGGCTGGTCACGTCAACCTTTCATTCAGGAGAAAGGAAGTGAAGCTGCAGGAACAGAACAGATCAGGGTTCACTGGTCAGGAGCACTTTAAGTGAGAAGCGAAAAAGCCACATAAGAAAGAAAGCGGGGGGCGTCAGAGAGACCTCTTGGAAAAGCCACTGGTCAGGAGCACTTTAAGTGAGAAGCGAAAAAGCCAAGTAAGAAAGTGGGGGCCAGGCAAGAGCAATAGCACAGCGGGAAGGGCGTTTGCCTCGCACGCGGCTGACCCGGGTTTGATTCCCAGCATCCCATAGGGTCCCCTGAGCACTGCCAGGAGTCACTCCTGAGTGCAGAGCCAGGAGTGATCCCTGTGCAAGCAGGCAAGCCAGTGGAGGGGAGGCGTCAGAGAGGCCTCTTGGAGAAGCAGGAGAGGCGCTGTATGTGCCGGCCCCGGGGAAGAGCGCACCGGATGTTGGACTTGGCGCTTCTGCCCATCGGGTGGGGGACGAGACCTCTGGGTCCGAGAAGGAAGACGTCACCGTCTCTCATCTGGGATCTTTGGAAACAGTTTCCCCTCCCCCCCCAAATCCGTGACTCCTTGGTCTCAAAGAGAGACAGTGACCTGGGTGGGCAGAGGGGGGTGATGTGGATGGGTGCTGGGTGGTTGCAAGGGGAAGGGGCAGGAGGGCGGGGGATGGGTGCGAGGGCTGCGGGGAGCCGGATGGAGGGGTCCGCGGGTGGACGAGGCAACGAACAGCTGTGGGAGCTCATCGTCGGGGCCGGATATTCACCGTGGACGCGGGCAGGAGTCCAGGCTGGTGGGGAGGCAGGCGGGGACCCAGGAGGCTCTTAACACGGAGAGGGGCTAAGAAGCCGCCCTGAGGGGTCCGACCAGGGCCGGGCCCCTGAAAGGTCTGGGAGAGGGACGTCTGGTTCGCGTTCCTGCGGAGTGACCCCTGCGTGCGTTCTGGGCAGATTCCCTCCGGACCAGAAGCCGTGTATCATTCCCCGGCCCCCCACCCCTCCCCCCCAGCTGAATCCCCTTTGCTCCGCACCTGAGGGGTTAGGAGTGGTGTGAAACCCCTTCAAGCTACCTGCATTCTCTCTCCTCTGCTCCAGGGTCACTTTCTCTCTCCGGAGGGAGGGGGGCTGTGTCTTGAGTTCCCAGCCCGGAGAGGCAGGACCTTTGTCCTCCGAGGGGGGGGCTTTCTTTGTTTCTGGAAGTTTCCTCGCTAAGTCTCTTTCATTGTGTTGGCCCATTGAAGTTTACTTTTCAGAGATCTTGGTTCCAAGAAGGGCTTTTATCTCTGGGTATGTCCAGAATAATCACAGCTCTGGGGAACTTCCTTGATATCCCTTTCTCGCTTCTTCTTTAAGCCCAGAGCCTTTACGTCTTGGCCACCACAGTCAGTCATTTTTCTTTAGATTTATTTTTCTTTTTCTTCAATCATATTGTTATGGAGCCGCACCCTTCGTTGCTGGGGATCAAGCCTGGGGCCAGGCACGTGCTCTGCTGCTTGAGTGACCTCCTCACCTCCCCCTATCTGAGCCATCTGGGATGGGGGGGCTGGTCCATCTCCTGCAGCACTTGGGGGCCACTCCTGGCTCGATGCTCGTAGGTCACTCCTGGTGGTGCTTGGGAAACCATATGTGGTGCAGGGATTGACCTGGGGTTGCCTTGTGCAGTGCAAGTGCCCTAGCCCTTGTACTCTTTCTCCAGCCCCAGTTCACCCTTTTTCAGCGGTGCCTACTAGTCCCACAGCTTCGCATTGTTGAGTTCCCTCTCGCTTTCTGGTTTGAAGTACTCAGGACAGACATATACACACACTTGGTGCTCAGGGCTCACTCATGGCTCTGCACTCAGGAGTAACCCCCAGCAGTGCTCGAGGGACCCTGTGGGATGTTGGGGGTCGACCTGCGTCAGCCGTGTGCAAGGCAGGCATCTCCTCGCTTTTGTCTTAGTTGCTGTGCTTGTTGGGGGTCGGAGCGAGGGAGGCTCAGACGCTCACACCCCTTTCACAGAGGGTGGAGGGACTCAGGGGTCCTTGTGCTGCTCTCACGCGCCTGGTTGTGGTGTGCGGCTTGAAAATCCCTCGAGCTTCTGGTAACCAGAGACATCCAGGCTGCCGGGATCCCACTCAGTGCGTGTGGGACCCCCGGGGTTTGAACTCCCCACCACGTGCTTCCAAGGCAGCTGCTGGAAGGCCCCGTGCTCTGCCCGCACCTGGTGAGACGCAGAAGGAGAGAAGCATCACCCCTTCCTATGTGTGTGTGGGGGGGATATTGCTGGGCCGAGGCACACAGACTCCAGGGCCCAGTTGCCCCGACTTTGTCTTGGATTCTGGGGTTTACCTGACGCTGCAGGACGCTGGCCGGCCTGCCAAGCTCTGTGCTGGGCACTGCCCTTCGGAGAGAGAGGAATCAGTTAGCACCGCAGAATTCAGGGGGGTCACAGGGCGGGTCCCCTCCCTGCTGAGAGGACATTGCAGTGAGGTGAGGCAGATTAGCCGCAGGGGGCAACGGTGGGAGAGGAAGGTGGGGGGGAGGGCCGAAGTGAGGAGGGCGGTGGGCATGGGTGGGGCCGGCGGAGGGTGATGGTGGCGAAAGTGCTCGTCCCTGCCCCAGGGCTGGGGCTGGGGAGGAAGTGGAGAGCCAGGGGAGCACCAGGAAGGAGGCCGGTCCCCAGAGAACCCTTCCTCGGGGGCTGGGTGGGAGCAGAGGCCGGTCTGGCTCACAGACCACCCTCGGGGATTCCCTTACTAGCCGGAGGCCTCGGGTTCGATCTCTGGCACTGCACCCCCATCTCCCCGCGGGCTTACACAGACGGACACACAAAAGACGTGCCTGGGCCAGGAGGGAGGTGCCCGGGGACCTGGACCCCCCCCACCGCCTCCCGCTGAGCCCCCGCCTGTGCCTTGTGGCAGGACTGGAACGTCACGTGGAACACCAGCAACCCCGACTTCACCAAGTGCTTCCAGAACACGGCTCTGGCCTGGGCGCCCTGCCTCTACCTCTGGGCCTGCTTCCCCTGCTACTTCCTCTACCTGTCCCGCCACGACCGCGGCTACATCCAGATGACGCACCTCAACAAGGCCAAAACCGTGAGTCCCGCGGGAGGCCCGGCGCGGGCAGGGGGTCGAGCCACACCACCAGCAACGTCGCTTCTGCCGGATGGGCCCCAGGAGCTCGGTTTGGGGGGTTCTGGGGGGGGGAGGCCGCGGGAAATGAAGCCGTGGCGGCTGGGCTCGAACATAGACAGACCGGGACGCGGCCTGACTGGCTCTCGGCCAGCAGCCAGCGTCGCGGCCGCCCGGAGCCCCAGTGTCCCCAGCCACTGCTCACGGGGCCAGTGACAGACCTGCTTTGTGAGTGTGTGCAGGGCAGAATCGGGTCTTCCCTCCTACACATGCTCTGTGTGTGTGTGTGTGTGTGTGTGTGTGTGTGTGTGTGTGTGGGCCCACACCCAGCCATACTCAGAGGGAACTCCTGACTCAGCACTCAGGAAACCCCTTCTGGTGGGCCCCGGGGGCGTGGTGCGGTGTGTGCATGTGTGTATGTGTGTGTGCCTTTGTGTGTGCTTGTGTATGTATGCGTGTGTTGTGTGTGTGTGCGTGTCCTCCTGTGAATGCACGTGTGTGTATGTGCATGAGTGTATGTGTCCCCATGTGTGCGTGTGTCCAGGTGTGTCGGGAGCCGGTGCCTCTGAGCTGCGCTGTGTGTGTATGTGTGCTGTGTGTGTTCGTGTTGTGTGTTGTGTGCGCGCATCTGAATGTATTCGTGTGTTGTGTGTGCGTATGTGTAGTGCATGTTCCCGCGTGTGCATGTGTGTATGTGGGCGTGTGTATGTGTCCCTGTGTGTGTTGCGTGTATGTGTGTGTGCCCACGCGTGTGTGTATGTGTGCCTGTGTGTGTCCCCATGCGTGTGCGTGTGTGTGTGTGTGTGTGTGTGCGTGTGCCCGCCTGTGCCGCGACCCCCGTGCCCCTGAGCCGCCCGTGTCTCCGCAGGCCCTGGGGCTCCTTCTGTGGCTGGTGTGCTGGGCCGACCTCTTCTACGCCTTCTGGGAAAGAAGCGTGGGCAGGGCCCCGGCCCCTGTGCTCCTGGTCAGCCCGACCCTCCTGGGCATCACCATGGTAAGTGGACGCCGGGCCCAGACCCTGCCCCCGCCACACGCGTGGTGCTGGGACGGAGAAAATCCAGAAGCTCCCCTGGACGCTGCTTCCCACGAGCCTGGGCCGCAGGCTGGACCCGGGGTGTGTGCTGGCCTGCGGGCCACAGTGGCCACGCAGCCCTCCGGCCAGCCCTCCCCTCCGTGGTGCCATTTCCTCCACTTCCTTGTGTTCACTGCCTGGGAGCCAGAGGCCCTGGAGGGTCCGTGGTGTAGGGGGCAGGAGGCAAGGGCCAGCAGGAAGAAATGCCCGGCTTGGGGGGTGGGTCAGGGGAGTGGCCGGGGCAGTGGCTTTGCTTCCTTGGGGCTGAGCTCCGGGAATCGAGCGCATCTAGAAACTGGATTCATGTGATCCTGCATCCTCTGAGTCAGGCCCTGCTGCGCCCCCGGTTTCACTGGTGAAGAGACAAAGGCACAGAGAGGTGACGGGCGCTGTTCAGGGTCACACAGCAGCCCCCAGCCGAGGCCGCGGTCCCGTGCCCACAGCCACGTGCCCTGACAGGAGGCTCTTCCCTGTGGCGTCTCTGGGTCCCCAGGGAAGCCTAGAAAGTTCTTAACAAGTGTAACGTATTTGGTTTAGTTTGGGGGCCACACTTGGAAGGGCGCAGGGCTTACTCCCGGCTCACAGGTAACAACTAGTGGGGGTCTGGGGGGTGCCAGGATCCAGCCCTCGTGGGCCGCGTGCAAGGCCAGCACCCTCCCCGCTGTCCCTTGGCTCTGGCCTCTCCGTCTGGGCATGCTGCCGGCCACAGTTCACGGAGCTGGGACCCCCCGCGTCTCAGGGAGGGACCCCGCTCCCCCCGTGTGAGGCTGCGGAGGACAAGAGCCACATGGCAGGACAGAGACGTGGTTTTGTTTTGGTTTGCTCTTTTTTTCCCTCGCATCACAGCTGGCCAGGCTCGGGGGTTCCTCCTGGCTCATGCACTCAGGAGTTGCTCCTGGCGGTGCTCGGGGGACCATGTGGGATGCTGGGACTCGAACCCGGGTCGGCCGCGTGCAAGGCAGACACCCTCCCCGCTGTGCTGTCGCTCCAGCCCCTGGACAGAGACACCTTTGGCCTGGGCCACCCTCCCCCCGCGGGCAGCCGTCCGCCCGCGCCCCAGCCAGGACGTGGGGGCCGCGGGTGCCGAGGCCACCGCCTGCCCCGACCCACTCGCGCCTCTCCCCTGCAGCTGCTCGCCACCTTCCTGATCCAGCTGGAGCGCGGGAAGGGCGTCCAGTCCTCCGGCGTCATGCTCATCTTCTGGCTGACCGCCCTGCTGTGTGCCGCGGCCACCCTGCGGTCCAGGATCATGGCCGCCTTCAAGGAGGTGAGCGCCGCCTCGCGTGTGCCCGCCTGCAGGGCCGTCGCCTTGGCGCCAGGGCCTGGTGTCCCTGGGGCCAACCCCTCCCGCGGGGACTTCCTGCCTCTTCTGGCATGTGTTCTAGAACCTTCTTGGGGGAGGGGGGTGGCGGCCTCTTCTTCGTAGCTCCCCAGGTCCCCCTGCTCCTCATCCCACCCCACCCCCCAGCTGCCAAGTCCCTGGCAACGAGCCAGGCAGGTGCCACGCTGCCCCCCCCCCCTACCGTCCCCCGGGGTCCCTGAAGTGTCCCTCAGGGTTCAGAGGAGCGTGCGCCATGCCGGCCTCCAGGGCGGAGAGTGAGCGAGTGCTTCTCCGGCAACGCCCATCAGCACCTCCCGTCTACACCGCCGGCTGTCTGTCCTGCCGAGGGCCACCGGCCTGGACACGGTCCCCGGGTAGCTGGCCTCGACTTGACCGGGCGCGAGTTTCCCAAGGGCCTGGCCCCACGTGTGGGTCCCGCCGCTCCCTCCCAGGTGCCCGCGCAACACGGCTGCCAGGGTACGTCAGCCTCAGTGCTGAGGGAGCCGGCGGCCGGCCTGGGGGCACCCTCGGGAGGGTGTTCGGGGGACACCCCAGGTCTGCACCCGCTGGGTGCCGGTGGCCTCCCCCCCCCAGCTAGGAGCTCCCGCGTGCTCCCCAGGAGGTGGGAACGGCCCTGTGTGTTAGAGATGGGGAAACTGAGGCAGAGGGGCGGGTCAGGGAGATCGGCAGATTCCAGAGCTCAACCGCTCACCCCCTCCAGCCTCAGCAGTGAACCCCCCTGTCCTTACCCACGGCTTGCCTGTCCCTGTGTGGACCCCCGTGGCCCCCACCCAGTGGCCTTGTGGGGGATGAGACGGGGCTCGCCAGGGGCGGCCTTCCGCTGCCTCTCCCCTCCCCTATTCCTCCCGGTCCCCTCCCCCGGCCCCTCTCCTCCCCCCTCCGCTTCCCCTCCCCCACCCCCACCCCCGCTGCCACGCCTGGACCCTGATCACCCCGTCCCGCCTCGCCCCAGGACGCCCGCGTGGACGTGTTCCGGGATGTCACCTTCTACCTCTACTTCTCCCTCGTGCTGGTCCAGCTGGCGCTGTCCTGCTTCTCGGACCGCGCGCCCCTGTTCTCTGAAACCATCAACGACCCGGTGAGTGGGTCTGCGGGGCCAGGGGAGTCGGGGGCCAGTGGCGGCGTCCTGGCTGTGAACGAACGAAGCCGCCGCGTCGCCTGGCTGAGGCTTCTGCTGTGACGGGCACCCGGGCCGCGGGGTGGACAGACGCAGCAAGGCCGGACTCGGGGAGCTGCCAGGCAGTGGTGGCGGGTGGGGGGGGAGGGGAAGGGAGTAGGGAGGGTGGCGGCGGGCGACGCAGGCTTTGCTGGAGCATCAGGGCAGCTGCTCCCCGAATCCCACCGCAGGGCAGAGATCGAGGGGGCCACAGAGGGAGTTCCAGGAGGAGCAAAGGCCCTGGGTCGAGGGCTGTGGGAGGAAGGTGAGGGGCATGTGCCCGGCCAGGCCTGGAGGCGGGAGAGGCTGCAGGACGGGGCCCGGGGGGTGCGGGCAGCTGCCGGCTCTGTCCGGGGTGGGATCGGAAACCTGTGGGGTGCGAGTTTGAGGCTGTATTTGGGTGACTCGGCGGGGAACAGCTCTCGTGGGTCCGTGGGCCTGAGCCTCCGTGGAAGGCAGACACCACAGGGCCCCAGGGTGGACACTGCACGGAGGCCACTGCTCGCTGGACAGCTCTGTGGACAGGTGACCTGGAGCGTGTCCCGAGAGGCCTGTTCCTCGGTTCCTGAGAAGCCAGACCTGAGCGGGAGATGGGCGCAGTGTGGCTGTGTGTGTGGCCATAAGTATGTGTCTATGTGTGTCTGCATGTATGTATGTGTATGTGTATGTGTGTCTGTACAAGAACATATGTCTCTGTGTGTCTGTGTACATGTGTCTGTACAGGTATGTGCCTGCGTGTGCCTGCCTGAGTGTGTATCGGTGTATGCGTGTCTGGCTGTAAGTGCATCTGTGTGTCTGCGTGTCCCTGTGTGTGTATCCGTCTGTTCTCTGGTGTGCCCTTCGGGGACATGTGTGGGAGCACATGTACAAAGTTCACAGCAGCAGTGCCAGGCCTGGGACCCCCGTGGGCCCCCGACCTGCAGGCGGGCCCCCCTCTTGACTGCCTCCCCCGGGTGCCTGTGCCTGCGTCTTGGTTGTGGCTGTGTCCCCATGAGCAGCTGTTGGTCAAATGTTGGCTCACCAGGACGCTCTGCTCAGGAGGGACCCCCAGTTTCCAGAGGCCTTCCTTTTCCCTCCTGCGTGCGGGAGCGCCCACGTGGGCCCTGGGCCGACAGGACTGGCCGGCTGCGCCGAGTGTACTGGCCCCTTCCCCGGGGGCAGGGAAGCCCCGAGCCCCCTCGCGGGCCAGACTCTGGTTCACCTGGACATTCCTTTTCTCTCTTGGTGGTGCTGGAGCCTGACCCTGCTGTGGGCGGTCAGCCCCGTGCCCGGGGGACCTCACCTTGGCGCCCAGAGACCTGGGCCCCCCTTCCCCTCCACAGACACTGGGGCGCTGCTGCCGACGGTGCTCAGTTGTGGGGTGCCACGGTGTGTGGACGGGAGAGGGTTTGTGCCCTCCCGCGGCTGCCCCGAGGGTGGACGCATCTGACGGCCACGCGGCTCAGCATCTCGTGCCAGGGCCTGGGGCGCTGACCGGGCTGGGCCGGGCCCAGTTCTCAAGACAGGCCTCTTGCTCCCGTGGCCTGAGCGCTCCCCCACTCACTGGGCCGGGGGGTCAGTGCCGGCTGGAGCCGGGGTCTCCCCAAGCGGCCCGGGTGCTCCCGCCAGCTGTCTGGGAGACGTACCCCTGCCGTCCTGTCCGGCAGAGTTCCCTGGACAAGGCGGGAGGAGGTAGAGCCGGCCTGTGGGCGCTGTAACTTGGACCCCGGTGTGGGGAGCAGACCTGTCTGCTGGACCTCGGGAGTCGATGGCCTGGCCGGGCATCTAAGTCACCACGAGGGTCACTGTGGACAGGCCGGGCCCAGGGTCAGCGGCTGAGAGGCGTCAGTTAGACCCGTCCCTCTTCCTCTGCGACCTCGGCGACCCCTTCCTTTTCCTGCAGGGCCAGACGGGGCTCCTTGGGGGTGCCCGAGGGATGGGGGCTAGATCTGGGTGGGCGTCCTCGGACAATTCGAGGGCCCAGTGCTGGGAAGTGCAGAAGCTGTGCGTGCTGGGGGCTGAGCCCTGCGGGGGTCTTCACCAGGCGCTGCTGGTGGGGGGCTGCGCGCCAGCCCAGGCAGGGACGGAGCTAGGCCTCGCTCATGCCTGCCCCAAGCCAAGCCCCCGCCCTGGGTCCCCGCCTTGATGGGGTCTTCCCGGTGCCCACCCTGCCGGCCGTGCCCTGTAACGGGGCCGGAAGGCAGCGCTCGGAAGGGCCTTGGCTGTTCCTGCCCTGGCCCCTCTCAGAACCTGCAGCCCAGCAGGGGCTGGGGGTCCGGCCGGAAGGTGGAGGCCCCTGTGCTGTCTCCGGCGGCTCGTCCTCAAGGCAGAGGTCGGCCAGGCGCAGGGCTGTCTGGGGTCAGGCGGGTGTGGGGTAGGGAACTCCGTCCTGCTGAGTCACCCCAGGCCTCCCCCGCTGGGCCCGTGCCAGCCCCGTGACTCAGAGTCTATTCTGGGATCCCGGTCAGCCGTTCCCCCCCCCCCCCCCCCCCCCGTCCCTACCCACAGGCGGGGACTCTGGGCGCTGGGGAGGGGTCTCCCATTCAGAGTCAGGGGCCCGGGGTCAGAGGTGGGAGGGGCACAGAGCCTCCTCCTCGGATGGGGTCCCGGGCCCACCCTGCTCGCTTCCCCGGGTGACGTTCGAAGGACACTGGGGACCCGCTTCAAAAGAGGCTCCCAGAGATCGGGGCCACTGGGGCCCCTTTTCGGAAACAGACTCGCCCCCCCCGCCCACCCCCGAAGCCGTCTTCTCTGAGGGAGCGAACAGGAAGCCGCCTCCTTGCATGCCAGGCTGCCAGCACCCCCGGATCCTTCCGGCGCCCTCCCTGGGCTCGTGGCACCCACTTGGGGGGACGCTGTTGTAAAGGGTCCGGGCGGCTAGTGGTGGGAACTGCTCAGCTCTCTGGGGGCTGACTCAGCGCCGGGACGGCCCTGGGGACCCCCTCTGGGAGCACCGCCAGGGTGACCCCGTTCCCCACCCCAGCACGGATCCGGGAGTAGCCTCTGAGCTCTGCCAGGTGTGGCCCCCAAACCCAGACCCCCCGGCCAAGGGCCTTGCCGGCTAGTTCGCAGACCCCTCTGATGGCCTGGGCTGGGCCCGTGTCTTCGCCCCTTTCTGTGGAGGCTGCTGAACTGGGGGCGCTGCAGGTTTCCAGGGGGAAGTTTCTCTGAGCACTTGCTCAGAATCCACCTGGAACCGTCCATCCATCACCCGTAGATGAATGTCCTCACCTGCCTGCAGTGTGGACTGTGCACGGCTCCGCTAGATCCCGTCTTGGTTCCCGGGTTCAGCTCTGCTTCCTGCTGCCCCCAGGCCTTTGCACGGCAGCGCCTTCCTGTTCTCGTCCCCCCCCCCCAGGGTCATCACCCTGTCCTCGTTCTTCAGACCCTTCTCCGGGCCTTCTTCCCCGACCTCGGATGGGCTGCTTTTGCGCCCAGGAAGGCTCTGGTGAGCTCACGGCAGTTTCTCTCACTGCACAGTGAGGGTGGTGCTGGCACCTACCTTCTGGGCCCACTTGCGTGAGATCTGTGGGTCAGGCACCAAGAGGCGTCCCAAGGTAGTGCTCCTCGGTCCTCCTGGGTCCTCCTGGGTCCTCCTGCTGTTGTCACCGCCCGTTATTCTGGCATCCCAGCTGCTTCCCAGAGGGGTGGTGGGGGGGGGGGAAGCTGCACAGGTTTGCGT